TTATTATTGTTACCTCCGCCAAGGAAGTTGGGTAGCGTTGGTTGGTTTGTTGGTTAGTTAGCAGGATAACTCTAATAGTTATGAACAGATTTTCATTTATTTATTTATTTATTCATTTATTCATTATTTTTACTTACATGCCATCAAATCCGGATCAAGGATTTAAAAAAAAAAAAGATTGCATCAGTGGTCCCTATTTCCTTAGCGGAGGTTTGCGCTCTCCTAGTGCTTTTAGTTATCATTATCATTATTATTATTGTGATAATTGTTATCATCATCATTGTAAGTGTCATTAGTAGCCATTATCACGGTTTTCATCATTACCATTACCATTATGAGTATCATTATCATAATTATTTTCACCATTATCATTAATACTATTCTTATTATTATCGTTAGCATTATTGTTTTTGTTATTATCATTATTTTTATTGTTACTATTATTATAATTATTATTATTATTAATATTGTTAATATCATTGCTATTGTTATCATTAGTAGTATCATTAATATTACAATCATTTTCAATGCTATCGTCGTCGTCGTCGTCGTCGTCGTCGTCGTCGTCATCATCATCATCATCATCATCATCATCATCATCATCATCATTATCATCATCATCATCATCATCATCATCATTATCATCATCATCATCATCATCATCATCATCATTATCATCATCATCATTATCATCATCGTTTTCACTGTTAATATTTAAGGCCATTCATTATCATTTTTACAGATATCATAATAGTTGGTTAATGTTATTCGAAAATCCTACATATTTCTAACTTATATGGCACCAAGTAGTATTTACAACAATCTTGCAGTAGAAAGTACGTTCTATACACGAAAAAGTAATTTATCAATTATAGGAATGCGATATTGCGTACATCTTGTAAATTTTGAACAAACATAGGCATTATTGTTTCTTTCAACCACTTTACTTTTATTTCAAATAAGAAAGGATTTTATGATATGTGATTAGTAATATGGGAACCTGCAAGTGTTAAGTATGGAGAAAATGTGTGCTATATAAAATTTAAGAATTAGAAGATGTAACACCCATGACCAAGTAGCAGACGATGCAGACGATGTTATTATGTGTGTTGTAGAGCGAATGTAAACAAAAAACAAATCTTGTAAATTTGTTTGTAAATCACGGTGGGTGAAAGCATTTCCATCAGTTTAAATATCACTGTCAGACGAAGAAGAAACAGATATTGGAAAACTGTATATCAATTGTTAAGTGGGATAGAATGGAGGGTGCACCTTACCAGTGATTTGAAGGTTTGTATCGTCGGTACTAATTTTTTTCTTTGTATTTTAAATAGATTGTGTTTAGCAATTGCTCCTTTATATTCATTACTTACTCAGTTCATTATTAAGTCACTCCTCTATTGCGTGTATTCACTGGTACATGTGTGCATACATATGTTTGAGATTTATTTTTATTGAACTGGAGTGATTTTAGTGTTATTAAAACCCAAGCAAATCGTGCACAAAAACCATTACTCTCAGTCAATAAGCTAAGTGCACAATGGATGCATTGTGCGGTGAAATAAGTAATATTAAGATTAGGGTAAGTAAGGCTAAAAACCTTAATTAAGTTACCTTGTCTTTTGGATCATCTTCCAGCTTACATCCAAAAGTAGCTTCAAAACATAAATGGGAACGTAGCACAATAAACTGTTGCTTATGTTTTCCCTAGTTTTATATTTGTTTTTATTAGTTCACCCTAAGGAATTATTATCCAGAACTTTGAAGAATAGTCAGGGTATCCAGTATGCAACAGATACTTACCAATATGCTACTGCCATTTACTTGCTCAGTGTCATGTAATTTCACAATATATTTCTATTGCTATGTCACAGGTATTAGTCATTTTCAGCTCAATAATGTATATTATAAATAACTATAAAATCAAGTCACAGGCACCCAAGAATAGTGTGTATATAACAGCTTGTTGGCATTATTGTATAATGCATATAGTTAACAATGTGGCTTGTGACTTAGAATTATAAAGAACTTTAGTATTGGAGTTGTGAAGTTCATAATTACAACTAATGGTGTGTGTGTGTGTGTGTGTGTGTGTGTGTGTGTGTGTGTGTGTGTGTGTGTGTGTGTGTGTGTGTGTGTGTGTGTGTGTGCGCGTGTGTGCGTGCGTGCCATACTGTAAAGTATTTTTCTTGCACGGGGAATATTACATTTTTTCACGTGCAGAAAACATCATTTTGTGTACATTTGCGCAGACGGATGTACGGACAGATGATGAAACAAATGTGTGTGTGTTTGCATATTTCACTGCCTGTGGCAGGGAAGTGTTTGAGTTTCCATAAAAAATAAAGAAAAAAAAAGAAAATAAAAAAATAATAATGCATTCCCATGAAAAATATTTCTTCATATCTTAGATTTTGCAGATGAACCAAGAGGACAACATGCATAGAAACAGACTGAGCCAGGAGGGACTGGTCTTAGCAGTGCTGATGCTCACACTTAATTTGTGTGGTGCTTCCATGATCACTTCTAGGGATGAAATTCTCATTGGTTAGTATGGGTTAGACTGCTACTAACTGTAAAAAAAATCTCACTATATTTTACCTAAGTTGTGCTGATTTGTGAACAAATGGTAAAATATGCTTAAATAGTAAAATTAAATCTGCAATGTTATTTTTTATATTTAAGTGTTTTTTTAAAGATGATGGAAATTTAACAATATAGCAGATAATGACACTGCTCCAAATGATATTTTATTCTATTTTTAGTGAATGATATTTAAAGGAACCAGGTACTTTTGGCAGAAATTAAGAGAATTTATCCCACACTGCAGGTCACTGTGATCCTCCCAAGATACCCAATGGTGCAGTTGTTCCTGTGCAACATACATATCAGATTGGGGCAACTGTGGAAGTTGTGTGTTCAGGAGGCTTTGTTCTACAAGAGGAGAACAGGCTACACTGCACTGATGATGGAACATGGGCAACAACCTCAGGATATGCTGCAATCCTTGAATGTGAAGGTATGTAGTTTATTCACTCAAACTTGAAATGATTTTCAAATAAGATATAGCATAAATAGCTACATGTATGTGTAAATACTGTATATAGAAAATGGATAAGCAAATAAATGCATTTTGAAATTGCTCTTACTGTATCAAATTTTAACTTCATAGAATATATTAATGACAGAGATGAAGCTGAAATTGTCACTCTTTTATGTTGAATATTTTGAAATGAGCAAAATACTTTCTTTGATGAGAAATGTCTTTAATAAGGCAAGTGTGAAAGTGAGAGAATTTTCTTGCAGTTCTCAGTATAGAGTAGTTATTAAAGTTGTGCAGATACTCCAATCTCTACCACTTCCCCGATACCTACCCCTCCTCCTCACTTCAGTTGTCGTACCAGGCAACCTATATGTTCTACTCCATGCTCTCCTACACCTTCCTCTTCATCTGTTCCTCAGATGTCTATCTCCTCTTTTCCTCCTTATAAGAGAACTGTTGTTTCTCAGTCCTCTATACTTAATTCCCCTCCAGAAACCCTTGAAGACATCCAAAACTTCCTAAAGATGACCCAAGGGAACACTCCACTCCCTCATCCACCCCCCAAATATCTCTGTTCGTACTCCTGCTACATTTAAAGTATTTGCAGATATTCTTCCCCCTCCTTCCCAAGTTCTTTCTACCCCCATTCCTCCTACACCCTCCCAACATACTCCACCCTCTCTACCACTTGAATGCTCACACGAATCTTCTCTATAACAATGGTGTCCTTCTCCAGACCGCTCCTCTCCAGCCATTTTTCCTGATGCTTCCCCCCCTTCCCCAGCCTCCCTTTCTCAACCCCTGCATTTTTCTCCTCCTTCTTCTCCAACAGCCCCCTCTGTTTTCGTTGATCCATGTCCCTACTCCTTCCCCAGTCACAGATACATTGCAATGTACTCAATAACTCTACCCCCTTATATTTCCCCAACCCCTTCCCAAAATACCTCGTCCTCTGAACCACCCAAACCAAAACCCCCTCCAAAATCCGATTCTTTTCCACATACCTTATCCTCTCAACCACCCAAACCACCTATACCCCCCCCTCCCTCCAACCCCATCCTTCCCCACTAGCCCTCCCACACCCTCCTGAATATACACATGAATCTCTTTTATCATAATACCTTTCTCTAGACCCCATCGTCCCTATCAAACCCCCAGACACTACTCCTTCACTTACTCCTGATCCTGTATCTCAACCCTCAGATACCTAATCCCTTTCTACGAAGACAACCATGTCTACCGTTATCACCTACTAGCCCTATTCCTTCCCCAGTCACAGATACGATGCAGTTCATTCAATCACTCTACCTCCTTGACCTTTCCCATTTATTAGTCACCACTCTACTTCATTTACTTCTCTCCTTTCCCTTTTCATTACCATACTTTCCTATAACACCCTCTATTCTTTGATATCTAACGCCTTCCCCTCTCCCCGGATTCTTCGCTTACTCTTCAACAGTTATCTCTATTCTTCCTTGAACATTTTTCCTTTACCTTCCCCAGTGACAGATACACTATAATTCACATAAATTGTAATCTTTAACTCTCCTTTGCTCTTTCTGATGCAATACTTTACCGTAGTGCTACATGACCTTTGATGTTTAGCACATTTATTTTCAAACATTAAACATTAAACATTATGAAAGTTTTTTGTATTCATTCCTTTGATTTTATGAAATCCCACACATAAAAATTATCCTTTGCTTATGGATATTTCCCAGTAATAGACTTGAAAATATATCTACTGGAACTATAGTAAAATCACATATCAATGAATTTGAGGATGTACTTGAATTACATATTGATTTTTGTATTAATTTTTTATATTCTCTAATTTTCCAACAGCAATAACCATGCATTGTGAACCACCACCCAACATTGAGCATGGTTCTGTGCAGGTGTTGGAACGGGAGAATCTGCTTCTTGGATCCCATCAGGAGAGCCTGAGGGAAGTAGATCGGTTCCAGGAAGGAAGCGTTGCAGAATATTCTTGTGACTTGGGCTACTGGTTGCATCCATCATCCCATTCTAGGCATATATGTCTCCGAGGCCTATGGATGGGGGAAGTTCCACGATGTGGTAGGGAAACTGGTCTTTGGCTGTTGGGTTAGGAACCCTTTTATTGTTTGGTGATAGGAAACTGCCTTTTTTAATACTTTATGTGAATGTTTTAATTGTTTATCATTCATTCTTGAGACTGGCTTTCAAAAAAGACAATTAGGATGTTGAGTATTTGTTAAGAGGACTGTCTTGAAGATAATGTGGATTTTTGTTTTTTGTGAATAGTATAGGAATTCTTCCTGACTAATGGTAATATTTGCAGGGTATAAGTGACATTTATAAACTATCTTTTTTAAAGCATCTTAGCAAAGTGTGTTTGAAGATTTGTTTATTTTCAGTAATTCATCACCTGCATGTTGGACTCTCTTTTGCACTAAAAAAAGCTCAGGCTTTCACCTTTCTAATGCAGTACATTAAATTGTGACATTTGGTTTGTGAGTTATGTAAATAACATTAATTAATTTAGTTATGAGATCATAAAAATGGTAATATGTTAAAGAGAAGTATTGGTGGATAGGCCATAAGTAATATTATTAACCCATTAATGCTGGATGGCATCTGTATAAGCCATAGTGAAGGTGGGCCAGAATTCCAGGTTTCACTTGTAAATACTATGAAGACTGTTGTCTAATCTATATGCCATGCCATATAGACTGCATATTATTATTATTATTTTTTTACATGAATTGGCTTGTCCCCAAAAAAGTTAAAGGGAAAAATAACATTCTCACACTTCAAATTTTGGGCTCATTCAAGTGTTCTTGAGATAAATCCCAGAACAAGAGCAAGTGTGATACATTTATTTCCCACTTCCCTTAGGTTAATCAGTGATGAATGCACTTATACGATATCAGCACAGAATTGCTTCTGAGGAATTGGGTTACCAACTAACTCAAGGAATGTAATCAGTGAACAAAGTCTAAGTGTGGATTGATATTATAAAGTTATTGTTTTGGAAACTGGTACACTGTTACCTGTTATTATCCACCATTTGTTTTTTTGTGTATTTCTCTGGCTCCAATATATTTCTTATGCATTTCAGTTAGTAAAGGTTGCATGAGCCCAGAACCAGTGATGAATGGCTACTACCTCGAGGTCACAGGATCGTCAGATGTTCAGTACCCTCCTGGTGCAAGGCTCCAGTTTGTGTGCCATGTAGGTTACACCCTCCGTGGTGGAGATTTGTTCGATTGCAATGAAACTGGTCATTGGATGCCCAGGACACATCCTGTGTGCAAGCCTTCCCCAGAACTTATTGGTAAGTTTATGGAGGAAATCTTTAGACTGTTGAGTTGTGCAGGATGTATTTGATTCTTTCCTCTTTTATGACATCATTTGTAAATTAGGCTTTTTTTCTTACATTATTTGGAATAACATTTCCTGGGCATTCAGAAGTCTACATTAAATAACTGCCTGGAATTGAAATTAACACACTAATGATCAGTAAGATTTTTGATAAAGTTTGGTGATGATGGGCCTCCATTAGTGGACATGGCTCTACTGCTTGGAGGTTTTCTGGTTCATGGGAGTGTGTGAGACTTCATCAAAGTGACTGGAACATAGTCTCATGATTTGTGAAAGAAATGTGAAAATTTTGTCTTTGGAAGTTAATAACTAATAGGTAAAAAGATTATCTAACTTTTTTTTTAATCATTTTAGGTTCTGTATTATGCCCAGTACCCCCAGAAGTTCTTCATACTGGAAAGAAAATTGTAGCAGGTGTCTTGACAGCAAAGGGAGCTATACATGGAACATCTATAGAATATAGATGTCTAGCTGGTTATAGAAATGTGCTTGCACCTTGTGTTACCCATACATTATCGTGCCATGAGGGACAGTGGCATGGAACCTCCCCAGAATGTGGTGAGTTATTATGAGAATGACCTAACAAGATACTTATTTTCATACTTATTTTTTATGTAGTTGCATGATATTGTGTCAAGCAATGGTAGTAGATTTATAATTATTCAATAGGAATCAGATTGAAAATGAACCATTATTTTTGTTTGAGATACAATGAAAACTTCATTTGCTGTGATACAGAATGAGGGTTTATAGTCATGAGCCTGAAGTTATTAATGCATTATGTGCTTTTCATCATATTTATCTCTCAAAGATTTGACTCTTGTTTACTTATATATTTTGGATTTTATTTGCAGCAACTCAATTGCTTTGTATATTGTGTTACAAATATTTTTTGTGAAGAAAAAAAAATTCTTTGTAAGTTGAACATATTAAACTTCTGCAGAGGAATTCACCAGTTGTGTGGCTCCACCTAATATAGCACATGGTTACATGTCAGACAGTGCTTCATCATATGCTCTGCAATCTCAGGTGAATATGACACAAGAATGAGTATGATTATGAATGAAAATAACAAGGTGTAATAGCAATGGGAACCTTGGTACCTATATTTGGGTATAGCTTCATAAAAAATCACAGAAATTTGTATTGGTGTGGTAGGTGTACTACGATTGCGAACTTGGCTACCGTCTTGTTGGCCCTTCAGTATTGACCTGTGAAGAAACTGGTTGTTGGACCCCAAGGATGCCTCCTGTCTGCCAGCTTAGCCATCAGTTTGAAGGTTAGATAATTTGATGCCAGTTATACTCTATGCATAGGTAACACTGAAACTAAAGTTTTTACATATTGTTAATTATTTTTTTTATACATTTTTAGCCAAGGAATAGCTATTCATAAAGATTATACAAAGTAATCTTTTAACTTATGATGTTATGGAGAGCATTGATTTCATATTACATATATTATGCATGAAATGAATGTGAATATCATTATGAATAATTTGCCAGCTCAAATGCATTTAGCCCATATGAAAAAGGTATTGTATTTCATGCGTTTTAGGATTTAACATTTGAACTCTAAAGGGAATGTATTGTATTGCAACATATTCTTTTATGGTTTACCTGTCAACTTTTATGTTATATAAAATTTTGTATCCCATGAATACTGAACTTGGCAAATTAACTTGGAATACAAAAAATAATAGAGACTACTAAATTATCCTTAGATATATCTGTATGATTAATTCATGTGGTAGTATCTTATCTATCTCATAATTGCAGATGAAATACGTAATGAAACTACTGTTCTGGACATGCACACCATTCTTGTGGCTACAACAGGAAGCGTCATTGGGATTCTGCTTATTGTATTGGCTCTGATATGTAAGTCATTATGCTAGTCCTTTTTGAAGTATCACCACTATCTGCTAATAGTACATGTAAGATAGGTATAGTTTGTAAGATAAATCATATGATTAGGCTGCCTGAATCAAATTGATATTTTCATATAAATCAAAATTAAGTTTAGGCATAGTGTGTGTGTGTGTGTGTGTGTGTGTGTGTGTGTGTGTGTGTGTGTGTGTGTGTGTGTGTGTGTGTGTGTGTCTACACACACGCACGCACACACACACGCACACGCACACACAC